TGAAAATGGTGGTCGGAAACAACAATAGTGCTTGGAGGTGGGTGGTGGCAAGCAGTGGCAGAGGTTGGAGTGGGGTCGCAGCGACGATCGATGACAGGTAGCGACAGTGATGGCTGGCAGCAGTGGAGGGGTCCAAAGGTGGGTGGTGGCGGGTGGTTGCCAGCGATATCGTTGACGGTCACCTACGACGGCAGAGGCAAGTAACGGGCAGTGTTGGCAATAGAGGTCAGCAACGGGTTGTGGTGGCGGAAGGCGGTGAGTCTTTTAATGCATATAAATAAGTGGTTGAAACTCTTCCTCATAAATGACAACTTAACACCACTTTATTTTCCTCCCTTTATTTCCCTCTACTTTTTCCCTTTAAAAAAGTGGGTGCCTATGAGACTTTTAATGCCTATAAATGAGTCAAAATGCTTTGTACTTTTCATTGATGAATGAAATATTTTGGTGAAGGGTTTTTCATTTACTTGGTACTTGGTGGCTTCAAGTAGTACACCTATCATTGGTGTGTTAGATAGTTATTTTTATATTTTCTTTAAGACACTTGTTACTCCTCTTAAATACCTGCTACAAACTCTTCAAATATCTATATATACTTCATAAGTATCCTTAGAGACCAATAAATCAATAATTAAGATCTTAAATTATTCTAAATACTTCCACGACTCTCAACCAAATTACAGGGAACCCTAGGACTTAATTTTATTCCCTATATCTCGACATCCTCTTAAACTCCACTAAACTCTACCATCAACTTCAGATCATAATCCTAAGCTAACTCTCCATCATCATTTTCAATTATATATCCCACATAAAATCACACTCTGAAGTGATCTTCTGAATCAACAGAAATTAGACTAGTCTTGGCATTCCTAGTAGTATACCCCTTTCAACCCCTCACCACTAAAAACTCTAGAATATTTCCTTAATATTAAACTAAAGATTCAGTATTTTAGTCACCAAACAAATATCAACCACCGTCATATTTAATATCAAAGTGAACTTGAGAAGGAACAAATCAACTTATAACTTTTACACAACAACAAAAAAAAAATCTTGTGGTGAACTTTTCTCCAAAAGCTTTTAAATCACTTTAACAAGTTTGATGTTACTACATCTTTTTTATAATAGATTTATTTCATATTAATAGCTTGGATATTGATGTAGTCAAAATTTGTTATGTTATGTTTTTTTTCTTTCTTGTGTTTTGGACGTAAGGTAATTTTATTTTGTAAGACCCTATGATGAAAATCTACTCATGATCATGCATGGTTGGGTGCTCTCAGATAAGTACATTCCATTGCCTTCCCATTTGTGTTTTCTTGCTCCTTTTTGCCTGTGGTTGTTCTGTTTTCCCTATTAACTTTTCGTTTTCCCTGCTATCTGCTTGGATTCCCTGCTAGCTGTTTGGATTCCCCATCGGCTGTTAAGTTCCCCAGTTGGCTTCTTGTTTTCCCTATTGGTTGCTTGGATTCCTTGCTAGCTTTTTGGATTACCGGTTGACAGTTTGGTTTCTCTGCTGGCTTCTTGTTTTCCCTGCTATCTGCTTGGGTTCCCTACTAGCTATTTGGATTTCAAAAAAGCTATTTGGATTTCCAAAAAGCTATTCGGTTTCCTTACTGGCTTCTTGTTTTTCCTGTTATCTTCTCAGTTTTCCCTATGGGCTGCTCGATTTTCTTGTTGTTGGCTGCTGGTTTCTCTTTGTTGATTCATATGCAGAAAGTTTTAATGTGGGCTGAATTTGGTGGTTCTGATTGGCTATTTTGGTGGCACATTTATGTGATATATTAAATGTTATTCCCCCTTCTTTCTCCCATAAATTGGGCCTGAATTCCTTTGTGCAAAGAAGAGTTTTTGGAATGTGATCAATTAAAAAACCTGAGGGTTTTTTTAGCTTGCAAGCTAGTCTTCTCCCTATCCCCTATTAATTCGTCTCAAACTTCTTTTTACTTCTTCTCTCCACAGTTTCCCTTCCACAAGTATCTTTCTTCTCTAAACTATTGTGAGTAAATCATTTTAAACCAGAGCGTTTCTTCTAAGCTTATGGGCTATCTTCTACCTTCCCGCTACTTATTTGTCTTGGTCTTCTTTCTACTTTTTTTTCTCTCTACAGTTTTCCTTCGACTTGTACATTTCTTCTCTAAACTATCATAAGTAGTAAGTGGTGATGTGCCCTATTCTTTTGGTATTTGCCGAAGGAGAAAAATCTTGTATTGGATCATAATTTTTGTGGTGGTTAGCTAGTTTGTCCTTTCCTGTAAGCACCTTCCCTAGTTTGTATTTGTATGTGAAGTGACCATTCGTGATTGTTCTTAGGGTTTATAGTTTATGTGTTTTGTTATTTGTTCTTTCTTATACAATTTCCTAACAAATTTCCTTTATTAATTTTCTACTAAGTATCTATCATTTTGGTGTTTGTTTATGTGAAATTAAAAGGAAGTATCTTAATTTGCATTCCTAGTGTTCTCCTACTTGGTTTAAGAACTTAGGTTACATCATATATGTAGTATACTTCTTGCAAGTCTATAATGTAAGCATAAAAATTCAATTAGGAGGTCCCACCATAAAGTCTAGCCAATATCCCCATGTGAACCTCTTCATAGATTTGTCTTGAGAGAAATCTTGATAATGGTGTTCTACACCTACAGAATATTAAAATATTTCCTTGATGCATGCAAAATTTTATGTAACATTCTTTAATTTTTTTGTGTTAATCTCTTGTGATAAGACAGGTTATTTATTTGTACAAATTTAAATAGTTTGTTATCTTACGAACTTAAACTTATAGATCTAGACATATTTTTTTTGCATTTAAAATTACATGCATAAAAATATATGTATGTAAAATTTACTGCATTTGAAGTTAAAAATTGTCAAAATGGTCTAAGCTACATAAGAAATGCTTGGGGCGTAAGAGGTCTTTATACTCCCCTCCACACTTGGAAATTCTCTTAACTTGAAATTCATTTTATTTTTTATCTATAATTTAAATTTCGCTCTCTCTTTCATCTATCACCCTGTCACCTTCATATATCTCTTCATATTAAAAAAAAAAAAATCATCTCATGACCCCAAATCTGTTTCTCAAGACCAAATTAAAGATTTGACTCAAATGACTGACTTCTTAGGCCTTAAGATTCATTGAAAATCAAGTTAAGACTAACTCTTTAGCAAGAGATGAAGTCTCCCACTTGCAAAATCCCTCATTTTTTGTGATTAATTATATAACCATCAAGATAAAACCGACTGAACTAGTTTTTGAGCATCTCTTTTTAGTTCATTAGAAGAATAAGCCACCTACTAATGATACATGGCTGACTCATATTGACTCAGAGATTTTGGCCAAACAATTAATAGAATACTATTTAGATTTTAACTATACATAACATAGTTCAATTAAACTCAGGGTAGTTGATGTAGTGCATAATGTGGATAAAGATAATCAAGTAAAAAACTCAACCACAATAACTAAAAATAAAGCCCAAGAAAAGATCAAAGAAGATGACCAATTATAAGAGCTCAATCAAGAGCCCATAACTTGGAATATTTTAAATGTAATTTATATTTTATTTTCATTTAGAGACTTGTATGAAAATTCATGAAAAGATAGGCATGTATGAAGTATTAAAAATAGGTGATTGGAATTCTTCTTCATAAATGACAACTTACCTCCCTTTTTCATTTCTTTTTCCACTTAAAAAATGATTGCCTAAGAGTCATGCAATGCCTATAAATATGAGTCGAAATACTTTATAATTATCATTGATGAATGAAATATTTTGGTGGAGAAGTGCTTTTCATTTACTTGCTGCTTGGTGGCTTCAAATAGATTGCCTATATCAAGTATGTTAAGTGGGCATCTTCATGTTTTTTTTTTAATTCACTTGTAACTCCTTTTAAATGCCTGCTCCAAACTCTTCAAATATTTTCTACCACTTCATAAGTATCCTCAAAGACCAATAAATCACCAACCAATATCTTAAAGTCATTATAAACACTTTCGCATCTATTGGACAAATTAGAGGACAATAGAACTTAGCTTTGTTCCCTATACCTTGACACCCTCTTAAACTCCACCAAACTCTACCATTAACTTCCGATCATAAGTTCACATCTTAACTAATACTCTGTCATCATTTTCAGTCATTTATCCCACATAAAAATCACTCTATAAAGCAATCTTCCAAATCAAACCAAATCAGTCTAAATTGGACTAGTCTTATCATTTGTATTAGTATACCCCTTTGAATCCCTCACTATTCCACCAAAAACTCCATAACATTTATTTAAATATTAAACTAAAGATCCAAAGCCTTTTCTAGTCATTATTCTCACCAAGAGGCTATCCACTGCCATCAATAATACATAACATTCCAACAAGAAATATAATGTAAACTCAAATTCCAATTTTCAATACAGATCCAAGGAGAGAAAGGAAAATTATGGTACGAATAAAGCTCCTTAAACTTGGAAGCATTGCCTCATATGTGACCTATTCTAAAAGATTACAAAGTGCTTATTCACTTTTTTTTTTGCCAAAAAAAAAGAGCCTGTATTATGCATCCTGAACAAAAAAAAAAAGAGTATATTTATCAATCATCCATAAGCATTAACGTGGTAGACAGTAATTAAGCAAATTTGCATGCACCTTCAAAAAGCCTTCCACCAAGTCCACAAAAGAAAATATAAAACTAATAATAACATTTCCATTAAAATATTCTCAAGATCCCAATCAAGAAAGTGACAAGTGAAAAAGAGCACTTCTCAAGGGACTCATTTGCAAGCTCATGAAAAATAAGATTTAAATGAAAAAAATTGCATAATTTAGAAATTTATAACCAAACTGCAACATATGAAAGGATTGCAAAATCTCTTGGTTAGAGGTATTTGAAATAAGATTATAATTGAATCACAGACCCATCAATATCCTTGACAAACTTCCCCAAACAAAGAAAAGCATGACAAGCCAAAAAAAAGCTAAAAATAGAAGGACAACATACAATTTCAGTTGGCTTGTTTTGATTGTATTCTGACTTCTTTGATTCAACAACCTTTTCCAGTGTCTCCTGATCCCAATCATCCATTGTTTCTATTGCATAATTTCAAAGTTAGATGGTATATAGACAAGAACAAGAGAACTCAGGCATTAATTAGACAAACAGAAAATGGGCTCGGAAAGCATAGCATCACTCCTTACCAGTACTTTCCTGATCACGTTTGTCACTATAAATGTCAATCTTCTCACCCTTCCTTTGCACATTTAAATCATGCGAAAACTTGCACTTGAAGCCTTTCGCACATTGTCCAGCCTTAAAAAACTCACATAGAATAGACTTGGGATCGACACCTGAGCAGTGCCCATGGAATTAAAACGTACAATATTAAGTTAAGATCAGTAAAAACGAAGATAAAAATTAAGAAGGGATGAAACTATCATGCTTTAGAATCAGATATCAACATACCAAGTGGAACTTTAGGTTGGTTAACAGCAACCTTAAACAAATCATTCAGCTCCTTCTCTCTGGCCTTATCATCTTCCAGCTTCTTCTGCTCAAGCAAAATTTTGAGAAAAAGAAGTTAAAAAGCGCTTTTTATAATCACAAAATGGTCACCAATCTGTATTAAGTACCGTCAAAAAGGGTAAAAAGATTACCTTGGCGGCCACTTTGGAAGGATCAGGCCTAGGTTGGACGGATTGCTGGAGGCTCTGCACATATTTCTGAACATTTTTGCTCTTGTTCTTATTCTTCAGACCGAAGGTCTTGTCCTCGACAACCTTCTGCTTCTTCGCGAGTTCCGACTTAGATTGTTGTTTCGGCGGCATAGGCAATCCGCATCAATAGAAACCCCGCGGGAGAAAGAATCAACAACTTCGGAGTGATGAAACTCCTACTTCTCCTCTTCCGGTGTATTCTCGAAGAACACTGAGTACCAAATCTTCCTATATGATCGATTAAGATTTGGAAAAGGGGCGATGAAGATTGTATATTGGCCACAAGCTAAGGTTTTTGCACGTTTGTTGTCCCTCAATTTTGTTTCTCCAGCTTTCCGATATCCCAGCAAGCAATAGCGATCTGGGTTCCTCCTGCTCCCCACAAACGAAGCTCCAAATCCCCCTCCGCGTTCGACTGGGCGAATGTTTTTGAGTTTTTCACTTCTGGTTAGGTTTTTTTTATTTTTTTTCACGTTTGGTTAGGTTCACAATCTATATGTGGCTTTAAGATTCGGATATTGAGATCTAATTTGCTTTGAAGAAAATTAAGAACAGGATAGATATCCTTATCTGATGTCTAATAGGATATATTTTTCAATATTATAAAACTTTTTTTTTAAGTACGCTGAAATATATCTATATGCATTCATTTCACGTACTCATTCTTATATAGTGTCTTAGGAGAAAAATATCAAAATTATCCCTCGATTATGCAAGAACGATCAAAATAATTATCAATTATATTAAAAGAATATTTTAGTCCCTCAATTCTAAAAAAAAAAAAATCAAAATAGTTCCACTGTTAAATTTTTTACAGTAAAATCAATAAACTAACGAATACATAAATTGCGGGAGGGTATATCTTGAATATGGTAAATTCGTTAAAATTAGCTGCAGTAAAGTCCCAAGGTGAAATCAAAATTGAAGGATTTAACATATTGCGAGCTTTGAACCTTAGTTATGAATCCCTAAAAGCGTTGAACCCCCAACATAGACGGAATCAAAGCACACGAGCGTCAAACTCAGCAGTCGACCGTTCTTCGCATCCTTTGGCAACATTGAACTTCAACAATCAAAGTCTAACAATGTCAAATCCCAAGGTCAAACTCCAGCAACGTCGAACCCTAATATTCGATAGTTCTTCACATCTTTTGACAACATTGAACTCCAACAATCAAATTCCAGCAAAGTCGAAACCCAACAGCCACGGAAGAGACCTTTCTATGGACACAAAGTCCTTAAACGCAAGGAAATTATCGTTGCACGCTGAACCCTTATCTACTCAATCGTCAAGTTCAATCGAGCACCCACGCGATGAGCTGAGTTCAAACAAGCAACTAGTAGAAGTAAATTTTTTTTTAAGTTGATATTTTTGAGAGTTGTCATTGGCCTAGTTTTAGATGCTTTACCTCCTTAATTAAATATCAAGTTGTGAATGATATGATTAGTATTAAAAAAAAAAACAAATTGTGACTGGAGTATGATTAATATTTATGCGTGATTCATCAAAATTTTGCTTTAGATGATTTATCCTCCTTTATAAAATAATAAAATTTCTCAATGACATATACATTTGTTTATTAATGAGAAATTATATTGTATGTTAATTTTATTATGTTTTACTTATTTTATTTTGTGTTCATTTGAATGCTTTTACAAATTTTATAATAAGAACAAATCAAGATAATGAAGAGGTGCTAAATTCAATGCGTTTGAAAAAGTTAGTAAGTTTTTTAAGCATGAATTTATTTTTAGAAGTTTCTAACTTAAATTTAATGAATTTTTCATGCATAACATTTTTTTTTTCAAAAAATTAGAAATGAAATATTTGATGTCCAAAAAGTTACAGCAAGATTTTCTGATTATCAAGAAATATTCTCAGCTGAGTGGTTTGAAGATTCAAACTCCTCACTATTATTTGGTGGTTTAATCGAGATGATTGATATAAACACGTATTAGGACAAAAAGAGTAATTATGGCAATGATGATTATGGCGATGATGATGATGATGATGATGTAGGTTATACCTATGTTGATTCAGATGAATCTAAAGATTTTCATGATATTAATGAAATAAAAAAAGATGAAGATTTATCTGAAAAAATTATTAGATTAAGCATGCAGGATTAGAGATTTATTAAGGGAAATAAACTATTGAATCTATTGAAGAATATCCTTCTAAAATTTTAAAGGGGAAAGGTTGTAATATTCATTGTGTGAACTCATGTGATGATTGTAGCAACATGATAGTTAAATGATCGACCTTTAATCCTAAGGCAGATTCATCAAATCACTCTTTCTTTACTCTCTCTTTTTTTTTTGGTAAGGAGGAGTTTAAAGAAGCCGTTAAGAGCTCGTCAAATTTGATAAAAAATTAAAATTAAAATTTTAAAGAATTATAAAAGAAGATGTAAGGTTGTTATTTGCATGAGGCCAAACTGCCCTTTTGGTATTTAAGTTTCAAAACATGAAAGCAACAATTCATGATAGATCAGATCTTTACAAGAACATACATGTATATGGAATTATTACATTAAGACTTTGAACTTTATAATCATTATGAAGAGATATGCGAACAAAATCAAAGTTAATCCCTAAATAAATTGCAATGTATTTATAAAAGAAGTGATAGATGACTTGAGGTTGCATGTATTAAACTTTCAAGTTAAATAGGTGATTTAGAAGGCTAAATAGTTTATATATAGGAAGGGGAAAATCAATTCAATAAAATTTGAGACTATTGTCTTGAAATTACATATAGCAATCCAAGATCAACTTTTTATGTCCTTACAAGTAAGGACTCATATTTGTGTGGGATGAAAAGATTTATGTGACTTTATGCATGTTTTGACTTTTAAGGCATGCAAGAAAGGCTTCAATTCAGGTTGAGGACCAATAATTGGTATTTATGGTTGCATTTGATGACAATAATAACATGTTTTTAACTATATGGATAGTAGTTGAAGTAGAAAGCATAAGCAATTGTGAGTGGTTTTTGAGACTGCTAGACAAAGATCTATAGATTTTAGAGAATCAGCATAACTTAACTTTCATTTTAGATAAGCAAAAAGATTTAATTCCATCTCTTAAGAATGTTCTACCTAATTTCACCAATAGATTTTACGTTATACATTTGCATCAAAACTTCAAGTTGGCAAGATTTACTAGTGTGGTGTTAAAGAATGCATTGGGCAGCATCAAGGGCAACAACTATTAATTAATTCACATTTAGAATGGAGTTAGAGAAATTAGATGTAGAAACAATTAGATGATTAAGTGTGAAGCCTCCAAGTAAATGATCAAAATCATATTTTAACTTTATACCCAAATGTGACACTAGCTGAATAATATATGTGAATGTTCAATTCACTCATTCTTGAAGCTATAGAGATAAATATTGTGTCAATGCTTAAAAGTATTATTGCCTTGGTCAGGTCAAGGATATTGGAGAATAAGGGAAATTCAATGAAATGGAAAGAAAAGCTATGTCGTAAGATTATTAAAATTCTTGAAAATAATATGCAAGAAGCAGGTTCTTGTATTGGGTATAAATTTAATGATGACAATTACGACATAAGTATCATGGATGGAGCTCAAAATAAGGTTGACTTGAACTTAAAAATATGTAGTTCTAGGAAGTGAGAGTTAAGTAGAATACCATTTGAACATGTATGTGCTACAATTCATATAATTATGAGCGACTGTGAGGATTAATTGCTCATCCTTACTGCATGGTGGAAAATTATATGAGAAGTTATTAATATAGTATTAAGCCTTCAAATGGTGTTGATGAGTGGCCAAAGAGTGATAAGATTCCACCATATCCATCAATATATAATAAACCCTAGATGGTTAGGCCATTAAAGATGCAAAAAAGAGTTATCAATGAACAAACATCACATTCAAAGCCAAAAAGGTCCCAATGTGAAGCTTCTTTACATTAAATGTAGATAGAGTGGACAAAATAACATCACTTGTGAAAAGACAATGCATATTGAGGTGACACGCAGAGATGCTCAGGAAGATCTACAACCATTGGTTGAAATGGTAGGCAGTGTAATTCCATCAGTTTCACTTGATTAACTATTTTGGTTTTAAAATGATAATTTTGAAACTTGTTCTTGGTTCAGTTCAAGAGTCAAACAAAGTGTGAGTCATCTTATGAACTCTCACGCAAGGATCTTCCATTACAAAACTTTTTTCAAGTTCATGTAATTTTTTTACTGTAGAGTTCACTTTCTATTTTCTTTTATAAAGTTAACTAAAGTTTCTACCTATGGTAGGTGTACACCTCCAAAAGAAAAAAAAAAACTCATTGAATGAAATATTCATGTTTGGGATCTTGGATTTTTTGTATGGATGGTGTGGACAACAATACATAAAGCTGCATCTTTTAAATATAGTTTTTCAACATTTGAATGTAATGAGAAAATTTTGAAGGAATTTGCATAAATATTATGTTTCGTCGTGACAAAAGTGTACTTCATTTTATTGTCGTGTGATACATTCCTAATGCAATGGATGAATTTTTAGCTTTATTTAATGTATTGTTATGAAGAAATTTTAAATCTAATGAACTTTTATTTAATGGAATGGATAGTTCTCATATCATATACAAGTCCCATAATTTTCCAATGGCTATTACATTAAAGTGGAAATGATAACTTCAAGCATTACGTCCCATAGTTGATGGATTATATGTGCATCTTCTCTTCAATGTTTTATTGTAGTGAATTGAGATCATCCATCAAGCTATACATAGATATCATTTCTTTTCCAGTATCAATTCTTATTCTTGTTTTGGTCACAAAGATGTCAAAAACAATGTTGGATTCTGAAACCATTAACATCTCTTTGTTATGAGCCTTTAAAGGTTGAATCTGATGGCAACTTAGTTGATTTCGATGATCATGCTTCAGTCACTCCTTTTGTAAGTGTGGGCTTATTTAGTAAATTATTATTCTGGTGGTTGAATCCTTTAATGAAGAAAGGCTATGAAAAGCCACTATAGGAGAAAGATATTCTTATGTTGGGAAAAGAAGACCAAGCGGAGAGTTTCTACTCTTTATTTTTGGAGCAATTTAATAAGCTAAAATAGAACTAATACAATTCTTCTTCTTATGTTATAAGGGTGGTTGTGCCTTGCCATTTAGATCAAATTTTAGCATTAGGGTTCTTTGAATTTCTTAAGGTTCTAACACTCTTTGCAGGTCCTCTACTACTTAAATCTTTCATTAAGGTATCAATAGCAAACAGAACCTCTAAATATGAAGATTTTATGTTGATCATCACTTTGTTTATGGCAAAAAAATTAGAATCCTTGTCACATAGGGAGTGATACTTCCGAACTAAAAGGTTAGGACTCAAGTGAGGTCTTTGTTATCAGTAGTCATCTATCAGAAGCAACTTAGGCTATCAAACTCAACCAAAATGG